GGAACCGGGCCCAGTTCAACTTTTTTTTTTTTTTTTTTTTTTTTTTAAGTTTCAACGTTTTATGAGCGGTACCAACCGAGCTAAACAAGGAGGAGGGCAATCATTACGGTACACACTGAGAGGCTTTTGCTGGCCTGCTGTTTAAAACCACCAGTACTTCCGAGGCACTTCCCTCTGGGGCTGGGAACAGCCTGCGCACCAAAGAAAAACCAACCGGATCAAGCCTACTATTGGCTGGCGCTGCGAGCCTTTTTGCTCCGGCGGCCGCACATTTGTTATCATTTGCCTGAATGGGAAACGTACTGTTGGTTTTGACTATTTGAAGAGCGCACAGCCCTGCGGCGCGGGAGCGTGAGTGGTTTCGGGAAGGAAAAAAAAATCAGGTGCAGGAGTACTCTTTGGGGTTTCAGTCGCCTTCTGACCCTTGCATCTCATCGTCCACCTCATCTTTTCCGTCCTCGAGAGCGTCAAACTCTGCTGTGAAGCTGATGGTGTCGTTTCCGGTTCTAATTACGCTCCTGGTTCTGATTCTGGTCGTGGTTCTGATTCCTCTTCTGGTTCTGGTCGTCAATCTGTTCTTGGTTCTGGTTCTGGTTTCCGGTCTGGGGGCATTCTCGCTCTTGTCCTCCAGCTGCTGCTGCTGCTGCTGTTTCTGTGGCTCTTGTCATCTCCACATCCAGCCAGTGCACTTGTTCCATCAAGTTCCATGTGAAACAGCGAAGCAGGGGAGACAAGTGACCAGAACTCCGCTGCGGCAAAGATTTCTTAGTTGCAGATGGAAAGGACGTCAGCTTGTGTTTCACGCAAAAAATAGTAAATACTACAATTTATTTCTCGAAAACAAATTTAAGTCTTCACAAGAAGCAGTTGAATGGCCTTCTTCCCTCTTCCGCTTCTGGGGCGCTGGGCCCGTGCTGTCACAACTACAGGCATGTTCTTGTGCCTGCTGCTAATGGAAGGCCAGGAAACATATTAGAAGGATAGGGCAGTGGCAGGCAGCCGAAAGGGGTCGACTTTGGTGGTGGGGTGGGTGGGTGG